TTTTTAACAACGACAACAAAAAGCTTCATTCCACATCTCAAAAAGAGTACAAATCGGGCAACCAACTAGTTGCAACCAACACAGAAGTAGGTACATCCACACTACTCCTTACAAACATGCCACAGCCTCTAAGAAAAATTACAGCACTAAGCTACCAAAGTCTACAAAGGAAAAAGATAAGCTAGAGAAAATATTAGATAACAAGAAAACATCAAAAGCAACAGAATTACAACAAGGATCAAAAGACTGTCTCTCCATTAATTTTCTAGCCACTTGCTTGCTTCCTATTCTGCAGTTACAGTCTTTCCATCCCTTATCAACAGCCATCTTCAATGCCCATCTAACTGCTACCAGCCACCTGCTCTCTTCACATCCATTAAACCAGCAAGTTTCAGAAAATTCATGGAGGGACTCTCCATTAATGCCAGCAATTACAGAAACCTTAAGTTGATTCTTGACTGAGCATAGAGCACTGACAGTGAGATTCCACTGACCTACTCTCTGGGAAAAATGCTCCTCAAGATTCAACCTTGTTGGAATTTCAGAGCTAACTGTCACCACTTTCTTGCCTGATATTTCCTGAAATTCAATCCATTCAGCAGTGGCTCCCTTAACAATCTGCCACTCCCCTATCCTTGCTTTATTAAACACCCAAGTGTTCCTAGTTTTCCATAGCCACCAAAGCATATAAGAGGATAAGCTTATTCTATCTTTGAGGCTACCGAAAATAAGGACATTACAGATGTCTCCCCACCAGTTTTTAAAAGAAACAGAGGAATGATTGAGGCTATTCCACTCTATTCCACTCAGCTTCCAGACTAACTTAGGCTACTTAGCTCTTTGGCAGTTAAACAAGATATGATCCAGATCCTCCAATCCTTCACCACAAATCGAACAAATGCCATCAACATTGATTTTTCTTTTCAGAAACTGATCATTAGTGCTCATAAAAATGTGCCAACATCTCCAGGTTTCCAGATTGATGTCCACACAGAATCTCTGCCATTCATATCTCTACTGGAGCTTGCCATATTTATGTTATCACACAACTTCCCAACAAAATGCTCA